TAGAGAGTATATGACTGTGAACCATGAGGACACTGACCACTGATGGCATTGCAGACACACCTCAAATGAAAGCCCTTCATATGCTATTGTGGTGGCAAGGAAGTGTATATAATATATTTTTGAAATTTGTTGCTGTTTGGAGTTTGCCAGATGTATTTGCTTTGTGTGGGCAGGTTTTGGTTGGGATGAGGGAGCCACAGGGGCAGCCTTTGTGAGAAGACACAGGGGGCCACCCCCATGTCAGATAGAGACAGTTTTCAGCTGGCTCAAAAATGGACCCACTGCTGGTCAAAGCTAGGCTTATCAGTGATGCTGTGTTGCCTCTATGATAACATATTTAGTAAAGTGTAAAAAAACACTGCATAGGAACAGTGAGAAAGAGGAGTTGGAATATGTGAGAGAAATAGCCCTACAGGCACTGAGGTTAGTGATGAAGGAGGGGGAGGAGGTTCTTGAAGCACCAGAGCTGAAATTTCCCTGCAGCCTGTGCTGAAGACCATGGTGAAGCAGGGTGTCCCCCTGCAGCCCATGGAGGTCCATGGTGGATGAGATATCCACCTGCAGCCCATGGATGACCTCACATTGGAGCAGGGGGATGTGCCATGAAGGAAGCTGCAGCCTGTGGAAGAGTCCACACTGGACTAGGCTCTTGGCAGGACCTGTGTCCTCTTGGAGAGAGGAGACCATCCTGGAGCAGGTTTTCGGCAGGAACTGTGGCCTGTGAGGGACACAAGCTGAAGCACTATTTTCCTGAATGACTGTACCTCATGGAGAATACCTGCAGTATAGCAGTTCTTGAAGACCTGCAGACCATTGCAAGGATCCATGCTGGAGAAATTCATGAAGGACTGTATCACTTGGGGGGGACCAAACAGTGGATTAGAGGAACAGCGTGAGGAGGAAGGAAAGTCAGAGACAAGTTGTTGTTGACAGATCACAATCCCCACTCCCCATGTGGATCTTGAAATCATAGGGGGAAGGGAGGAGACAGCAATGAAAGATTGTCCTCATATCTGAAAAAATTCCATAACACAAGCTGCTTTGATCCTTTCGGTTTTGGTGCTTCCACAGTTTGTGTGTTTACAGTAGATCAGTGGGTCTGTCAACTTATCTGTAAGAGCCACTTTTGCCAGGGCTTCCTACATAGGAACTGGAAACACTGGGAAAAGCCTTTTAAAATGCTCATTCCAGGGCCTGTGACTTAGAAGACTCAGGGTGTGTGAGTTATGACTGAAGCAGGATCTAACATGTTACTTTGATGTTAGACTGGAACTAGATGATGTCTAAGGTCCCTTCCAACCCTAACCATTCTATGATTCTATGAGTCTGAACTCCACATTCATCTTATCTTTGGTGAGACCAATGGCATTGCAAAGTTTGCAGGAGGAAATCATATGTGTAATATAGAGAGTAAGTTGTCAGCTATGAAGAGATGTCTGGTTTAAAGACAAACTATTATTCAATATATTTCAAAGTATGCTCATGGAAGTATATTTGTCATTGCTTTATATTTATGAGGGAAAAAATCTTGAACAAAATTTTCTTAGAATGCTAATATGTGACTGTTTTACCAAGCATAATTTAGTGCATATATAATAAGTAAAATGCCTTCAGAAGTGTAAGAGAAATGGATAAAGAATTGGGAAATCCAGGTAGTCATGTTAGCCTGGAGGCATTTTCTGAGAACAGTAGTGAGTCAGAATGCAAATCCTCATGGCTTTGCTGATTTTTGTGGTTGCTGCTGATTACTGTAAAATTGACTCAGGAGTGTTGCAGCATCTCTGCATATGTTTAAGCCTCATCTCCATAGTGTCACAGGCATTTTTCCTCTCTGTGGGTTTTGTACTGAGTAAGAAAAAATTTTCATAACCTTCATCTTGGCATTTTTTCTTATCAAGGAGCAAAGAAGGACACTATTCTGTTACTTCCCAGTCTTGATTTGGAGAATAATCGTGCAAGTTTTCTTGGATTTGCTATATTAGGACTTTAATGGTATTCAGATCGCATTTGGATCTAGACTGTAGCAAGTATAGTTTGCTTTGAACATGAAGAATTATTACCCTATTACTCTTAGTTAAAAGTATTTTAGGGCCATATAATGTTATTTAAGGAAATTTCAAATTTGGCTTTTATCTTTCTTTTTTTTCCCCCTCCATCCTGAGGATGAATTTGAGGTTTAACTCCACTAAGTGTACAATTTCACAGCTTGACATTGATTTCTTAGAATTTTCATCATGTGGAATCCTACTGTATGAACCACATATTACAAAAAGTACCCAGTGCCCCTGTAAAAGTGCAAAGTAAAACAATACGACACCTTAGCAGAGGTTTTCTCTAAGCAGAAAACACATTAACTATCACTTACATACATGAGACTTCCTTTCAGCTGTTTCAGCTGGCAAAGTTAACTGAGTGTGTTTGAAAATAGAGGAAGCCTGCCATTTCCTCACAGAAACACTTGTAAAACACTGAGAAATCCGTTTGCAGAGGAAAGTAACATGCAGGATGTGACTCCAGAACTCAATGAATGTTTATACAAGGAAATTATAAGAAACAAGTGTTTAATAAGATTGTTGATAAGAAAGGTTGCATTGAAAAAAGAGGAGGTATAGACATTTACTGTGGAAATGACAGCCGAAGTTAGGGCTTCCTCTGAAAAATTAAACTTTCAAACACTAAAACAACAAAAGGTAATTTACATCTTGAAATTAAAATACAAGAAAGGAAAGTAACTGAAGGTGTTCTATTTTGATGATGTGACAGAAAAGCAGGGCAATCTGGTTGGAGACTTAAAGCTAGTACATACTTCACATTTAATTTCACTCAAGAAGAATGTTGGCCTTAAAAGAGGTGTGACTGATAATGGGAATAGGGAAATCACCTCTTTCTTCCCTGGTTCTTCAAGGTATTAAGGTAGAAAGTATAGGATGAATTCATATCTTTCAAATGCCAAGAGAATGCAATAAAACAGACATTCTCTTAAGAGAAGTTATATATGAAAATAGACACAAACAGGGAACTAAGAAGATGGCAACAAATGCTGGTAGATGAGGAGGTACCAGGCTGGAGAAGCACAGTTACAGGAGGGAGATACTGAGTGGTTAACTTTACAGTAGACACAGATAAAAAGTCAGAGTTCCGTGATGGAATTTGCTAAAGAGCCATATGAATACATCAATATAAGTTCAAAGCAGGCTAAGAATGCAACTGTGGAAGTAAATAATTTTGAGGAGTTCAGTTATAGTTGTGGGATAATAGAAAATTAATATTAGTGACTAATAAAAATATGGTGCTATAACCAGAAACTCATCATTTGCAAATGGCTGAGAAGGAAGAAGGAGCAGAATTTTGATCCCAACATGATCATCAGGCATCAGCAAGGTGCAGATTTGGAAAATGCCATGTGATCTTAGGATATGTCAGCACAAGTATTTTATGGTAGAGATGGGGAAGTATTGTAAAAAGAAGCAGAAAGTGCTCAACTGAAATTCTAAACTTGTCAGTCAGCTGTGTTCAGGCAAGGTGAAATGAAGCTGGGAAAGCACAGAACAACGCTTTCTGTGGTGATAGTGGAATGGCAAACCAGTTGTTTGATGGGTCTATGAGAATGTGTGTTGTGTGGTCCAGCAAAGAAAATACTGAGAGCATTTGTAAGACCTGTGTATCTACATATTGAAGGTGAACTTAGGGGAAGAAAGAAAGCTTTCAAGAATCTTTATTTATATATAATCTGGCTATGAAAATTCTTAGGATAGGGGCCATAACACTGGAGCAGTGCATAAAATCACAAAACTGCCCTCAAGCCACTTACTCCAGTTCTGCCATCAGAGCTTGGTAAATCACCCAAGTCTAAGGAGAAAAATGCAGACTTTGTATTTTTTGCTCTCTATGCGGTAAATGTAATATGAAAGAATTAAAGCTGAACTGATTTGAATTTGCTAAGGGTGTACACTATACTCTGACTGTGATGCACTCACGGGATGATGCCCAGGCCAGAAGAGAGGAGGCATCATCTAGTTAAAAGGGTGTGTATTAAGTTTTCCCATGTTTGGGCTACATGCAACAATGGATTGCAAGAAGAGAGGGTCTGAAACAGCAGAGCATAGGAAATAGATGCTTAGATGAAAATGGATACAATGATCCCCTGACTGCTTCTTTCTCCATTTTCTGTGGTTCTGGGATAGGTAACACTATTAATGATCACACAGTTTCTTAAAAAAAAAAAAAAAGTAATGATTTTCATCAGACCCTTTACAAATTGAGAGGAAGGCAGTATTTTTTCACGAAAATACCCTTATGCCTGCTTTTATGTTCATAGATCCATGAAGACCTTATCCAGTCTGTTGAAATCAATAAGAGTCTTTCTCTATGTCTTAGATGAGTCCAAAAGCAAATCAAACCTCAGAATATGTATTCAGGTCATTCATTTTCCAGTTTTGAGGTTAACACGGAGTAAAAATAAAAGGTTTGGGGCAAAAGTCTGATCACATTGACTTACTACATTTTACTTCAACCGCCCTCTTAAAGTCAAGGAGATTATTCATGAAGTAGGTTTTTACTCAATGTAGTAGAGTTTTAATGTAGCACAAGGGCTCCCTGCTTAAAAGGGAGCAAAGGTTGTACATTGTTACAATTCAAAATGTCCAAATTTCACTTACAAGGTCAGTAACATTTTGGTGATAATTTTCACATTTTAAATTGTGAACACTCTTCAGTTTAAGGTAATGGAAATGCTCAATGCCTGATGAAATGCAAAGCTACAGTTAAAAGAGTATATGTTGACTTTTCAGTGGTATGAAGAAATATATGTTATTTTATATTTTAGAGAAAAAACACTATAGATACCATAATGTTCTATAAAGTCACAAAATATTATTTAGCTATTTATTTGTTTCCAGAATAAAACACATTGATTATTGAATGATGCTGGAATGTATAGGTACATGTTTATGTATTTTGTCAGTACTTAAATGCTGTTTATTTGGGTTTTTTTCTTGCAGTTTGCTCCCAGTATTCTAGAGGAGTTTTTGCCATTTTTGGACTATATGATAAGAGATCAGTACATACCTTGACCTCATTCTGCAGCGCCTTGCACATCTCCCTCATCACGCCAAGTTTCCCCACAGAGGGTGAGAGTCAGTTTGTGCTGCAGCTGCGGCCATCCCTGCGGGGAGCCCTTCTGAGCTTGCTGGATCATTATGAATGGAACCGCTTTGTTTTCCTGTATGACACAGATCGAGGTAAGTTGTGACCCAGCTTTCTTACCTTCATCGTTCAAATGACTTCTGCAAGAGCTGTGCATTTTTATGTCCTATTGAGAGCTTGGGGAGTCAAATTTTAAAGGGCCTTTGAGGTGAAATAACTCTGACTGAGTAGCTGTGTTGCTGAAGGAAGAATTCCTTCGTCTGCAAAAATTGGATATCGGATGCACATAGTATGTAATTGACCAGCCAAAGCCTGTGCTTTAAGTCTAGAATACTCAAGCCTTTTAACTGATGTCAGTGAAACAAAGACACAGTTCAATAAGCAGAATTTTACAGCTCTTTTCACTCTTCAACTCACTTCGTAAGTGACAGCTGTACAAAGAAGTAGAGAGGAACAGCCACTTCTCTGCACCTGCACTGGTGTTAGCTGAGATGCAAGTGAGCCTGTGGGGCTGCCAAGCTTTGGAAGGTCAAGGCAGAGAGAGGCTTTGCCCTCAGGCTGTGGCTGAGTAGTGGAGGTAAGAGGTAATACCTGCCAGGCATGAGGTATCCACAGGACAGCAGGAGGGAGTGCTGCCCATCTTCTACTCCTTTCATCTGGTGTTATCTATGTGATGGCCTACGCTTTTATAAAATATTTAGTTCATTACAGAAAAGGGTACATTTTCTATCCACAGTCTGCATCCCAAATCCCAGAGCATCTCATAACTGGTAAAATTCATCTCAGGTTGATAAAAAACTGCAATTGCATCACTGCACCTCACCACTCAGTGAGGAATTGAGAGATAAAATCTGTTCTCCAAGTTGTATGTTCGTTCTGCTGGCAAGCCCTCTGCCTTGGTTTATGGAATAGGATTGAGCCAACATAGTTGAGCTTCTGTGAAAGAGGCAAGATTTTTATGTTGATGGCTTGTTTTCAGGGGGGGAGCAAGCGGCATAGCTGTAGTCAAATAATTATTTTACTACAGCTGTTTCAATATAGCTCCCCATGTGGACAGTCTATTCTGGAATTAAAGTGGTTTTATTCCGGTATAATTACTCTACAGTAGAAATAGGGAATTACACTGACCTAACTAAATCTGTGTAGTTATTTGATTATGGCCATAGAAGTCAATTTTCTTATATATACAAACACTAAATTTTAGTGAGTTTTTAGCTTGATATACTACCTAAATACCTGAATTTAAATAAAAATGAATAATGGAATAAAACAAAAGAGTTTATATTGTTCCATAATTGTTTGTTTTTGTAACAATTTTATTTATGGTTGCTGGACCTGTAAAGGAAGTTCTGTAAGAATGTATTAGATAACTGGAAAGAGAAAAATGTAGCGAAATTTAAAAGTATTTCTGCTCAAGACATAGTTATGGGTAACAAGAATACTATCATGTAATTATAGATATGATCCTACAAGTTCAACAAATTGTTAAGAGAAGAAGCACGCAACGTGCAGTCACCTTCCTCATCTAAATTCACATGCTTAATTAGACTGAGACATCATTTTTAAGCATGCAATATCACACCAAGGACAGTTTCAAAACATGGTCTGTAACAGCATGGTTAATAAATGATTCTTATGTAACTGAACTCAGCAATTCTGAACTCATCAGCATGTCTCTGATAAAGAGATGACATTTGCTGGCTTGGATGTAGGGGGTGCTACATGGAATAGTCTCTCAAATTCTGAGTGGGTTTTGTGATACAATTTAATGCAGGACAAAATAAGATTCAAGGTATTTTTAGGTATCAAGATTACTGTAAAGGCACATCATTGCTGAATAAATTTTCCCTACCTTTACACATAAGAAAATTTTAATGAGGACCTGAGATATGATAAGAAAAAAAGTAAGCATCATCTCTTACTACCTGTGTAACCGGAAAAAGAAAAAAAATCATTTATGTTGAATCATAGGGTCTCTCTCAGTGAGGCCAGAAGTTAACCTTGTCTACATTTTTGCCAGAGATCCTTCCTTTACATGCCAGATGTCTTCCTGTCTCTGAGCAGCCCCATCGAACCAAAGTGAACCCCTTAGCCTTTGGGTTTTGTTACTAAGGCTGTGACCTGATCTTTGCAGCTTAAATGGGAAGCTATGAGTTCTTATGGGGGAAGGAAGCAGCTTCCTGGTTCTGTGGCATGTTACCCAGTTGCTGCTCACTCTTAAGGGGTGAACAGTTAAATCCTATTTTAAGGTCAGTTTCTCTGCTGTATCATTCCACTGATCTCTTTGACAGCCCCTCATCTCCCTGCAGAACCTCAGTCTCTTTGCTACTGGAGGCATCTATGTTAACATTTCATTTCAGGTGAGGAATGCACTTTTATCATCTCTCCAAGTCACTCCCATGTACCACCCTTGGGTTTACACCATGTAGTAGACTTGAAGCTGACAAACTCTGATGAGATGGTGACTTCAGCTATTATGTTAAATCTCCCTTTCTGATGTCCTGCCAAACTCACAGTCTGGAAAATCACTGTCCCGTGACAGGATGAAGATACTAGGAAGAATGGCAAAAATACAAAATTAATTGGATCTAGCAGGGGACATTACAGAAAAGGAGAACAGGTTTTGCAAAAAGCATTAGACCTAGGAGAAAGATGAAGAAAAATTCAGGTCATTATTTAAGAGAGGAAAGTGATCAAGACAGAAGGTTAAAGCCCGAAGGGTCCTGTTGTTTCAATACATTCCTCTTTCTCTTATCCTCCTTCCATAAACATGTTAATTATGACCCAGTGCTTAATGCAGTTAATATTAATAGCAAAGTACCAGGAACACAGACAGTACAGGGAAAAAGTATGCTGAAGAACACTTGTCCAAGTTATGCAAGGTATATAATAGGAAAGGGCTGAAATGAAAACCATGCCTACTTGAGACACCCAGAGGAAAGGGAAGTCCAAGGGAAGTCAAGAAAGGGGAGAAGTGCTTGGTTAATATTTGATGTCACCTCTAAAGGGAAGTAAGTGAAAGAATCAAATGAGTAGACAAGAAGAATTAGTTTATATGTGTTGTTTTATTGGATTTGAGAAGTATTTCATTTAAAAAGAGGCGTACAATCAAGTGGAGCTATGTACCTGCAGATCCCTGGGATGTTTGACCTAGTGGAAGTATGCCTACAATATGATTTTGCTAGCTAATGACAACATTTTCTGGCACCAGAAATAAAAATTTGGACCCTGAAGAAGGTTGTAGAATTATGTGAGGTGTGAGAAGATGTTTAAGAATAAAATCATAGAATCATGTTGGTTGAAAAAGACCATTAAGGTCATCAAGTCCAACTGTTAACTTAGCACTGCCAATATCCAATACAGAATTGAGAGGTGCAAGAATTGAGCATACAAGAGGTCAATGTTAGGTTTCCACACTGCTTTCAGCCTTACTGATGGCTGGAATGGCTGAAGTTGCTAGTAAAACTGCAGCGATTATCCAGAGCTAAGGAGTCCCAGGGTGGAGAGTGGTAGAGGGGCTTAGAGCAGCGTGGGACACCAGGGAGGATGGCAGCCAGCAACTGGAAACTGTTTTCACAAAATTTCAGCATCCATTTGAATTCAGCTGTTTCCCAGCAAGAGTTTTCAGTCCCTGACTGTGACTAAAGACTGGTCGCACAAAGGGTAGAGCTACCAGCTGCCCTAGCAGTTGGTTCACCAGAGGCAAGGACTGTAAAATAGTTATATTCTCTAGAAATTAGGTGTCATATGTGAGCCTGTTTATGTGCTTTGTTAATGTTTTTTCTTTTCCTTTGCTCCTTGTAATTACCTGTTCATAAAGCCAACTCAGTCATGGTTGCAGGTGAGGAAAATTAGCTCACTGTGCACAAGGAAAATATAATTTTCCTACATTTCTGGATAGTGTTTTTATAGCTGAAACTTCTCTGTTCTATGACAATCTAGTCCTGGCAGAAGGGTTATACAAGTCCTGGTGGCGTGTTAGAATTAATCCTACAGTACATAGAGTAGCAATTTCCAGACTTTTGTCTCTAAGAACTTGTAAAGGATAGGTGAGTCTCAGGTGAGGATAGGACATATCTGGAAAAGACAAAAAATGGTACAGGAAATTTAAAGATTTCCCTCTTATTTTGAGGGAGATGATGGAGTTGTTTATTTACAATCAGTTTATCAGGCTATTATAATTTTTTCCTTTGGCAGAGGAGCTGGTCCAGCAGTAAGCAGTAGTTTTGGTGTATCCATGATTAGTAAGTCCAGTGATATTGCCTTGGGGTTGACATTCTCACGGAAAAAATTAGAAAATAGAGGTTTGACTATAGCACAGCATCTTGAAAATTATAAACCATAGTCCCAAAATATTACTGATGGCACATTTTAAAAGTAAGAGCAGGTCTCAGGTGAGGTGCATGGGATTTGCCTTTGACTTTGCATAATAGCACAGAGAATGGCTTTGGTGCGTATCCAGCCTGGCTGAGGTATCAGTGATACAGAACAGGTTCAGAGTTCAAAATGATCCTGCTAAATAGATATATCAAGAAGGTGAAATGTGATCAAGAAAGATGTTACAAAGGATAAATGTAATGGGGAGGAATCAAAGATACAAATGCAAAGTGCAGAGTAACTGTCTCAGCACTAGTTATGGGAAATATTTCAGGAGTTGTGGTGAGCCATAAGAATAAGTACAGAAAGCCATACTGTTTCCAATAAAGTAAATGTTATTTTGAAAATTAGAAAAAGGATGTTGCGTGTGAGAAATGAAAGCTGAATATTGCTCTATCCCAGCTGGCTATGCTGCTGTGTCACGTGTTGGGATTTTCCCTGCAACAGAAAAGATCAAAAATTTTCAGTAAGCTGAAGAAATGGAATGGGATCAAGTGGATAAGGCACATAGAGGACATTTTGGTAGCAGTCCTGTGTCCCACCACTTTTTCCTTGCCCTTTGAAAGCACCAGGTAGTGTTCTCAGCTATATCAAGGGCCTTCATTATCAGCATGGCACAAGAATCAGACACCCATTGCTGGAAGGGCACCGTGGTCACTGACCACAATATACAGATATCACATATATAAGTTTCAAGGGTCCAGAGGAGAGGACGAAT